TCGATGCTGCTGCCCGAGGAGACCTTGGTGAGCGCGGCGGGGTGCGCCTCCCGCCCACGCTGCCTCACCACCACCTCGCAGGCCTTCCACTCGGCCAGCACCTGCTGGTACCTGGCTGCCACCACCGCATCCACCTGTACTCAGACCACATCATGACTGTGGGGCGAGCGCTACAACAGGCCCTCCTCTTCAGGGGCCCTGGATCTCAGAGGCTGGGATGGCTGGAGACTAGAGTTGGGCCTCCAGGGGAGGACAGCAGGGCCACTGTGCTAACAGCTGCCTCTGCCATGTTCCTTTCCAGATCAAGGGCCTTAAGCTTCGGGCCCTCCCCCACACACTGGTCTGGTCCCTTGCCCCAGCTCCCAGTTCTGTGGGAACACAGTCCCCTTACCTGCTCCATCTCCTTCTTGCTCATGCCAAACTTGTAGTGGCCAAGCAGAAAGGGCCAGACGTCCTTGCGCACCTCGTGCTCCACGCCTCCATAGTACACCTGCCGCAGCAGCTCCAGCTCCTTGTAGTTCTGAGGAACCCAAGGGACAAAGACAGTGCAGCCCCCACCATCACTGAGGCCCACAAAGGTCAGCCCGATCTCACAGGGGCTGGGCTGCAGTCACTCTGCCCAGGCAGACCTGCTGTGGGGTGGCCACGTTGCCCTGTACCCAGGACGGCAGCAGGGTGAGATCCAGTTCTGCTCTCCTCACAGGCAGAACGGGGAGCCGAGCGGGCAAGGATTTACCCAGTTCCCACCGCAGTCCCTTCCCAGGTAAAGCTACACACCCAGCTGTGAGACCACCATGTCAGGGTCACCCTGTGGCCATCGGTTCTGTCAGGCCCACCCCCCACCACGGCTCGCCCTGGAAGCAGCCCCCAGAGCGGGCTGCTTTGTGCTCTTGGCTGCCCATCCCGGCCCCCCGACGCCAGAACCAGGGTTTGCACCTTTTTGTCCTTCTGATACTTGCTCCACACATCCTTGGTGAGGCCTCCTGAGGCCCCTGGGGGCTGGTCGGGGGGGATAATGCTGTGATGCACCAGCGCTGACAGGTGGGTCCGCACAGTGGCCAGGTGGCGGCAGTATGCCAGCCCTGTGGGGGCAGCCGGGGGCTGTGACTGAGGTGCCCCCACTCGCACCCACCTCCCAGCCCTGCCTCCCCCCCACTCACAGCCATAGAAGGCCCGGGACACAATCTGCCTCTTCATGCTCTCACACAGTAGCCGGAGGGGCAACCTGCGGAAAGAGCCTGGCTCAGGGAAGGGGCTGTGCACCCTTGTGTGGGAGGACGACGGGCAGGCAAGGTGTTCGGGTGGTGCCCCGCCTGGGCCAGCTGTCCTTGGTCTCCTCATGTGAAAAGGGAGAGAACCGCCTCAGGGTCGTCAGGAGTAACAGGTCAGAGAGTGACAGGTAAAAGCCAGCACCCGGCGGACAGTCATTCATTCACACACTCCGGGCACAGGGCAGACGTCGGTATCTGCGAGTGTCCTCCGAGGTACAGCCCGAGAGCAGGACCTACTGCACACCTGGACGGGCAGCACCTGCTGTGTATGGGCCAGGTACAATGTAGCTCCTCGTGGGCTACAGCGCTTAGCCCTCACGAGTGCCTTAGGAAGAAGATGGCATCCCCATTTTGCAGATGAAGAAACTGAGGTTCCGAAATGCAGAGGCTCACAGAAACTCAGTAACTTGCCAACTCAGATGGGTAGGAGAAATGAACTTGGAAACCAGGTCTGTCTGTCTCCACAGGACACTCTATCGTGCAAGGGACACCACCTCTAAAGACAGATGGACACACTCATGGATGGACTTGCTGGTGGAAAGCTGGCAGTGCGGGCCCCGCCCACTCACCGGTCGGGGACGCAGCTGCAGTGGCTGGGGGTGGCATATGGGGAGCTGCTGGAGGAGCAGGAGAGGCAGGAGGAGCCCTGGCTGCACAGGGGCTCCAGGTGCCAGGCGGGCAGGCTGGGCCCAAAGCCTTGCATCTCTATCATGTCACCAGCATCTGAGGGCAAGAAGGGCACTGTGGTCAGGGCCTGGCAGGCTTTCTCCCCAAGCACCCTGCAGCATGCCCGCCTCGGTGCCCAGAGCTGCAGTGTGAAGTCACCCATTAGTGGAAAATCATAGGGTGGTGCCTGTGTGGGCCAGAGCCCGGAGACGGAAAGGGTGTCAGAAATGGTGCCTGACACTTCCAGCCTCCACCAAGCCCGGACAGGGTCGGCCAGGTGTCTCTGTGCCCCCAGTCATGGATGGTTGTGTCTGCCTAGCTCCTCCTTGCTACGCTTGATTTTCTAGACGGGGGTTAGAGAGGAGCAGTAAGGACAAAGGCCCAAACCTCCTAAAAAGCTGCCGGCTAGCTTGGCTTTCGACTCAGCTTGGTCCTCTCAGGCCATCTCTGAGACGCTCAGGAAGGTGCTTAAGGATGCTTTGAACTCTGAGCCCTCCCCTCCAGGGAAGTCTCCATTGATCAAAGGGGTCCCTGAGCCACCTGCCCAGCAGGTCTGGCTCTTCTGAGGGGTTCTAGACCTGGTGGCCAACAGTTAAGGAGGAACAGTGCCCCCTGCTCAGCTGGCACCCCGACTGCCAGCTTGTGTGGGTCCTTCCTGAATTCTCCTCCATCCTGCCTGGCCTGACAGCACGGTGCCTCCTAGACACAGGTGAGCTGCAAGGAAGAGCAAGAATCCCAGTGCTGCGGGGCCACTGCGGGGATGGGTGCGGCTGGGCATGCAGCTCACCATGCAACATGCCAAGCATAGGAGAATGTGCCAGGTGCAGCCTCAGAGTTGGTGGTGGTATCTACACCACCAGCAGATGGAGCCTTCTCAGCCAGCCCAGCTGCTGCAAATCAAGACCCCTGAGAGTTTCTGGGGTCCTAGTGGGACAGGACACTGGTCATGGGGGTTGCTGGCAGGTCCAGTGAGCCACAGATGAAGCAAGTGAGAGCAGGAAGGGAGAGGGCCAGGCGGTGATCTAGGAGCGAGGGCGAGAGCAGAGAAGAGCGAAGGAGAGCGAGCTGCATGTGCTGAGGCGGTTTCTTACTGCTTCTCAGTGAATCTGGATGGCACTGGCTCAGCCACGGGCCTAGGCCCCCCATGTGTCTGGAGCAGGCTTCAGGCTGGTTTTTATAGGTGTGCCTTGGTGGGAGGGCTGAGCCGAGCCTTCCCTACTCCCCTCAGAAGCTGCCCTGCCTGGTCCTGAAGCTCTTCCCAGACCTGTGGCTGGAACTTTTGGAGCTATCCAGCCCTTCAGCTCCACCAGGAGGCAAATTAAGGGAGCGTGCTAGGTGAGGAGTTGCCAGCCATGCCCAAGACTCTAGGAAGAAGAGACGGAGGGGACAAGAGCAGGTGGGATGGGGCAAGAATCCAGTTCATGGCCCTGCAGCAGGCAGGAGTGAGGCCAGTCCTGGGAGAAGCCGGTGGGAGTAGGCCCAGCTGGGCAGGCAGCAGGCAGCAGGCGGGCAGGCAGGGGAGACAGCAGATGCAGACGGCAGGAGCGGGGAGGGCGCAAAGGGAAACAAGCTCATGCCCAGAAAGCAGGCTCCAACCAAGGCAAGTCTCCTAGTCAATGCTCTTCACCTTAATTCTCCAGGAAGGAGCTGAACCAGCCAGCATTGAACAGTGTCTGAATTAACCCAGTGCGGGCAGCTGGAGCTCTGGAGTGACTGGGTGAGGGACAGTGGCTGGATGGGGGGTCTGCTGGGTCAGCTTTGACTCTGACTCTCTCCTCTGAGCATGAGGAAAGTGTAAAGCAAGACAAGCAGGGTGGGCGAACCCCACAGCCCCTAAGACTCCGAGTGAAAGGTGCCTGGCCTGGAGCAGAATTAGAGTGAATAGCATCTCTGCTCTGAAGGGAGGCAGCAGGAACGGGAGGGGGAAGGGAGAGAGGGAGGGGAGATCTGGACACCCCGCCACTTGATTCACATGCAGAAGTCAAGCATGTTGCAGGCCTGAAAAGCGACGGCTGGCAGAACGGACTCAACAGTGTTGTCATTACGGACTGGAGGGAGGTGGGGGCTCCCACCCCTCCCATCTTTCCAGCCACCTGCTGAATGTGCCCTCAGGTCTCTTTCCTTTTCTTAAGAACTGGGGGGCCCAGGGCCTAGTCTTGCCCCAGAGAGCTCCAAGAATGATGCCCAGGTAAACCTTGAGGCCTCTGAACCCATGGGCTCAGCAGGTTCCCTGGTCCTGGAGGCCTCTGCCCTGACTAGTCAGGGATGGGCTTTCTCAGTCTGCCCAGACGAGGGCTCTGCTGCCACCTCCAGCCTGACTACCAAGCTTGTGCGTAAGACTGGCTCCGTGGTCCCCCGAGAGTTCAACCTTCCAACACTGTTCACAGTCATTGCAAACAAGCCCCAGCTCCAAGTCCAGGTGTGCAAGGGACCAGGCAGCAGGTGTGTGTGCAGGCCATGAACATCGGGAGGGCCTGGCCTACAGACCCTATTCAAAGGGCTGGGAAAGAGGGCAGACCTGGGGCAGGCATGTGGCAGTAAGAAGGGCAGCTGGCAGGGTGGTGCTGAGGGAGTGCTGGGTGTGCTCCAGCCGGGCACCTGGTGGCCCAGGGATGGGGATACTCCTTATTCCTGACTCTGACTGGACTAGGGAACCGTGCTCCTTGGCAGAACTTTATGGCCGCTTCGGGGGAGTGTTATGTATTCTTAGACACCCTCTGCCTGGGCAGGGAAAGGAAAGAAGCATTTGATTCTGTGGTGTGGGAATGGGTGGGGATGGGAAGGGTCCCTTAACTGCTGAGTGAGCTGGCCTGAGCCTCCTCCTAACCAGCTCCCCTTGAGCAACCCTGCCAAGCCCTCATGGGTTTCCCCGGATCATTATTCTAAAAAACAGTGGGGTTCCCTCTCTACCAGCACAGCTCTGTGCTACGAGGGATGAGTGGTGGACGGAAGAACACTGAGGTGCTATGGACCCTGGGCTGGGTCATTTGCAATAAAGGGGGCCTCTAAACCATGGCTCTAAGGCCTGTGGAGTGATGAGGCACTGGCTTAAAACCACACGGTGAACCTAGGGCACATCTGGGCTAGGACTGTGTTGCCATGCTCTGAGCCTGTGCCCCTTCCCAGACTCCATGCTATAAATATTCTAGATTCCAGGCTCAAGTGCCAGGCCATGCCCACTGGAGCTCTCAGGTCTTTTGGGAAAACTGAGTCCTGGGGTGTCTTCCCATGGTGGTCCGCAATCCCTCACCTGACCCATAGGACTCACTGTTCACGTGACTTGCCCCAGGAAGGGTCTGTGCCTCTGTCCTGTTTCCTTAAGTCAGGAGTCAGAAGCAGAGGCTGGTCATCCACCAGCAGAGAGAAAGAAAGAGATCGCAGTCTGGTGCTGGCCAGCAGGGCCCAGGAGTGAGATGGGCTCAGAGCCATTCTGGGCAATCAAATGATCGGACCTGCCCGCCAGTGGATCTTCTTCCCTCTCGGGCATGAAGCCCCCACCTCACATCCGAGAGCATCTTGGCCTGCACTATCCCCTTTCTTGCCAGCACCTGTCTGGCCTCCTTCTGCCCTCCCTGATCTGTCCCGATGGTAGAAAACTGCCCTAGTGCAAGTCCCTTAATGCCAACACTGCCGTCCGAGCCCCTGCAGTGGGTGGCAGGTGGGCCCAGGGGGGTGGGATGGGGGACAAGGTGGGTCAGGGAAGGGGAGAGGGATAAAAACCTTTCATCGGATTGGGAGCTGTGAGGTTCCGCGAGCAGATCATTGAGAGCATCGCGTGTAGTTTATCCTCCTCTTCCTCATCATCGTCCACCGAGGCCGCCCGGCTGGCCGCTAGGTGGTGGTAGTTAATAGTGACTGCTCAAAGAGAATAGCGAGAGAGGCAGAGGCATGAGGACCCTTGTCCCTGGGCAGGAGGGACCAGACTCCCTCCTTAAGGTGAGTGGAATAGAGGCTGGGGTCACCTTGAACCTGCAAGGCACAGAGGAGGGAAGTTGGGGGGGGGCGTCTGAGAGCCCCTCTGATGATTTACTTGGGTGAGCAGGACGGTGAGGGCCTGGGAGGCAGCTACCACGCCCCACTCTGGAGGAGGCCCTCTCTAGGAAGAAGACAAAGCACTGGGCCTGCAGGTGAAAGGGCCTCTTTGGGACAGGCTGGCAGCTCAGGAGCTCACCAGCCCTGGCCAAGGTGGGGCATGACAGCTGGCAGATGGGCCCTGATCACCCTTTAGCTCGTGTCACAGTCAGGTTGGACCAGATCTGAAGGTTACTCCAAGTCCCTCTGTAAAGTCTAAATTCCACCTTTTCCTCAAGGGTTTCCCCAGTTACCCTGCTACTCCCTGAGCAGTGGGCATTACTCAGCTGAGGTTCAGGTCCTAGGTGCCCTGGCTCACCCTCTGGGGAAGTGGTTCTTAAAGTGAAGTGACCAGACGGGACATGCCAGGGATTGAGGACAGGAAGCAGAGATAGAAAAATCAAATCTGAGCAACAGCCCGAGCTCAAAGAGCAGATCTGCATATCCTTGTCAGGTACGCCTAGGAGGGGAGGGGAGGCCCCCACACCTGTGTCCCCCAAGCCTGCTGGGAGTATGAGTGCCGTGGCTGTGTGTAAGCTGGCTTGGCAATCTGTTCGCTGATACAGAGACAACTTGTCCACAACTTCTTGGCCCAAGTTAGGAAGTTTAGGAGCAGGAGGCCCAAGTAGCAATAAATGGCTGGCCAACTCCCTGACCTCCTCTCTGAGAAAAGCAAGTCCAGCCCAGGGAGCCGTGGGCAGGAGCAGACTCTGCCCACAAAGGGAACGTCAGTGTCGGTGGTTGAGACAGACAGATGCCCTCGGGCCCAGGGGTATGCACCCAGGCATGGCAGAACCCAGGGAGGCCAAGCTGCCTTCAGACCCCCGGCCTCTGAAGTGTGCCAAGCAGCTCCGAGTATCCCATCAGAGACAGCCCGCACTCCAGCTAAAGCTCCGCTCATCAGCAGTTGGTCTGGGAGGGCCCTGGCTCTGGGGTAGTCAGTGAACGACCTTGTGCCACACCGAGAGAAGCGCCTCTCCCACACCTGGCCTGCCTGTGGAGAGTGGGCAGCAGGGGGAGAGAAGTGGACAACCCTCCGCCTTCTATTACCAGTCCCTCCACATTTTTTTCTCTGAGGCAGGGCACAAAAGGATGACTAAGAGAATCTAGTGACACCTGGGTCTGCAGAGCCAAGAGCCTTGGGGTGAAGAGAGAGGGAGGACAGCCAGGTAGGAGGGAGGCACTTTCCGAAGCGGTGACGGGGTCAGTGGTCCGGCCGAGAGGCTGAGTGATGCCCCTCCTGTCCTAACCTGGCCTGGTCAGTGGCCCTGCCGGCCGGCCCTCCTGGGTGGCACTGTGCTCCCCAGCTCGCTGAGCGTCCTCCTCCCCTCCTGCAGGGGTGCAGCTCGGGACACTCACTGTGCTCGTGCCTGTGCCCAGGGTAGATGATCCGGAACACGTAGTCTGTGGCTCCCCCGGCGCCCCCCCCCCCCCC